TTTTGTCCTCCGCAGCCGTAATATGCACTCTGTAACAACAATATTTGGGGAAATATATCAAATACAGCTCAGAAATATCTTTGCCAAATTTTATCGAGATCCGTTCAGATTTGGATATAGCTCCCATATATAATTTCGTCCTATTTACTTTTTATTGTGCACCAAACGTCTAATATTTGCCCAAATGAGATGAAATTTGGCACATACGACCGAATTGAGTCTAGAAGGTAGTATGCCAAATTTGGTGAAGATCGGTTAAGATATAGCTATAGCTCCCATATATATTGTTCATCCGATCTGTTATATTTTTTACCCACAGCCGTAATATGCACTCCGTAACAACAATATTCAGGGAAATATATCAACTACAGCTTAGAAATATCTTTGCCAAATTTTATCAAGATCAGTTCAGATTTGGATATAGCTCCCATATATATCTTTATCCGATTTCAAATTAACTGTGCACCAAATGGGCAATACAAGTCCGAATTTAAACAAATGCTTCGGTAAATATGCCGAATTTTTGAATTTTAAATTATAATTATAATCATAGGGTGTATTATTGAATTCTCCCATAAAAACTATTAATTATTAAGTGGAGCTCAACTAAATTAGCAAAGTGGTGCAGGGTATCATAAAATCGGCCCCGCCCGACTTTAGGACTTTCTTTACTGTTTTTTTTTTTTGTTACAGAAAACAAGCAAGTCTTCCCAGAGAAAACGAGAAGGACTTTGAATAGAAGACCAACATGTCGCCCCCTCCGGGAAGACCAATAGATCTTCCTATGGAAGGCCACAAAAATTCACAGCAGAAGCTTAAGAGGTCTTCTCATAGAAGCCTAGTATATTTTCTCATAAGAAATCTTTAAGCAGAAGAACCAGTGTATTTGTTGTGGGCAGAACCAGAGATCTTCGAGTGAATGGCCCAGAGTCGTTCTTTTAGATGACCAAATATATATATATATTTTTATAGACAGCTCAGAAGATATTTTATACCAGAACCGTAGGTCTTCTTCGCCCCCAGAGAAGACCAAGAGATCTTCCTATGGAAGGTCACAAAAATTCACAGCAGAAGCTCAAGTGGTCTTCTCATAGAAGCCCAGTATGTGTTCTCATAAGAAAGCAGAAGAACCAGTGTATTTGTTGTGGGCAGAAGCAGAGATCTTCGAGTGAATTGCCCAGAGGCGTTCTTTTAGATGTCCAAATATATTTGTTTATAGACGGCTCAGAAGATATCTTATACCAGAACCGCAGGTCTTCTTATATGCAGTTTTCTTAGAAGACTCATTTGTCGTCCCTTAAGCGTCCTCTTTCGACAGAATTTTTGAAAGGGGTCGATTTTTTTTTTAAAAAAGGCAAGAAAATAAGAAATCTTTGGGAAGAAAAAACAGAGTATTTGTTGTGGGACACCCAGAAATCTTCGAGGGAATGGCCCTCCTGCAGACCACCAAATATGTTCTTTTGTAGAGAACTCAGAAGGTATCTTATATTAGAACCGCAGGTCTTATTATATGCATTTTTCTTCGCGACACATTTTTCGTCTCTTTAGTGTCCTCCGTCAACAGAATACCTTTTTAAGGGTATACCCTCCACCTTGGAAAGGAGGGTATATTAACTTTGTCATTCCGTTAGTAACATCCCTAAATATTCGTCGTAGAGCCCATAATGTATATATATTCATAATCGGCATAAAATTTTAAGACGATCTAACGATGTTCGTCTGTCCGTCCGTCTGTCCGTCCGTCTGTTGAAATCACGATACAGCCCACATTATTTGATGTCGAGCGTCAAAATTTAGCAGAATAATTTGTATTATGTAGGATGGTTGAAAATGAGATATATCGGTCCACGTTTTGGTATAGTCCCCATATAACGGTACATCCCGATATTCGGTATTTTGATGATTTTTGCCACACTTTTTCACGAATTTGTCTGAAAATTGGTATTTGTAGGTCATAATGGGTTCTAGCTCCGGTGGCGAAATTTTGCATGTATAGGTTCACGTTTTGGTAAAGCCCCTATATAACGGTACCTCTCGATATTCGGTATTTTGATGATTTTTACCACATTTTTTCACGGATTTGTCTGAAAATTGATATTTGTAGGTCATAATGGGTCCTAGTTCGTACGCCAAAACATTGTATGTATAGGTCCACGCTTTGGTATAGCCTCCATATAACGGTATCTTCCGATGTTCGGTATTTTCATGGTTTTTGTCACATTTTCTTACGAATATATCTAAAAATTGGTAATTGTGGGTCATAATTGGTTCTAGTGTTTCCATTACCCTAAGGTGGAGGGTATTAAAAATTCGACCCGGCCGAACTTAATGTTTTTTTACTTGTTTTCAATACCAAAAGCTTTAACGGCATTCGATGGTAGAAGGTCCCGTTTAGGTTAACCTGAAATGCCTACTTTTGAAAAAGACCTTTAATAGGGTTTCTATTAAGAAAAAACCCAATGACCTTGAACCACAGAAGATTACATTGTCTACAAAAAAAAAAAAAAAAAAAATATGGAAGTAGAGGCAAAAATAGAGGAAGACCATTAAGACGTCTTTGCGGCACAGAGAAGCTCTATAAGAGATATTCACCCCACAAAAGACCTTTGAGATAGAATAGGTCAAATCTATATGTGGAAGACCTCTGACAGGTCTTTTCTATACGGAGAAGACTTCTCCCTCATACCTATAAGAGGTTATCTGTATAAAGAAGACCGTAATAAGGTCTTCGCTGCATAGAAGACCTGCAAAAGGCCATCCCTGTACAGAAGACCTGCGTAAGGTCTTCTCTGTACAGAAAACCCGCAAAAGGTCTTCTCTGTCTACAAGACCTTCAAAAAGGTCTTATCTGTACAGAAGATCTCCAAAAAAGATCTTCTCAGTACATGAGACCATAAAAAAGATACAGACTAGAGAAGGTCTACAAAGATCTTCCCTGTATAGATAAGATTTTCAAAAGGTCTTCCCTGTATAGAGAAGACCCTCAAAAGGGCTTCTCTCTGTAGAAAAACTTTAGAAATTATTTTCTGTAGAGAAGACCTGCAAAATATATTCAGTGTATAGAAGAAATTCCAGAGGTCTTCAAAGACCTTCAAAAAGTCTTCCCTTTGTATAGAAGACCTTCGAAAGGTCTGCTCTGTATAGAGAAAGTATAAAGAAGACTTTCAAAAGATCTTCCCTGTGTAGAGAAGACCTTCAAAAAGTCTTCTCTTGAAGAGATCTTCTCTGTTGAAAGAGCTTCAGGAGATTTTTTTGTATAGAAGACCTTCAAAAGGTCTTCTCTTGGAACTTCTCTATATTAAAGATCTTCAAAATAGGTCTTATCTCTACAGAGGACCTTCAAAAGTATTTTTTTCATTGAATATCTTCAAAAGATCTTCCCTATATAAAAGACCATCAAAAGGTCTTCGCTGTATAGAAGACATTCATATCTTCTCTGTGTGGAGAAGGCCATCAAAAAAGATCTTCTCTGTAAAAAGGACCTTCAAAAAAGGGTTTCTCTGTACAAAAGACCTTCAAAAAAAGGTCTTCGCTGCATAGAAGACCATCAAAAAGGTCTTCTCTATATCGAACACCTTCAAAAGATCTTCGATGTATCGAAGACCTTCAATATGTCTTCTCTATGAAGATAAGACCTCTCAGTGGTGTTATCTGTCTGAAAACTTTAAAGAGATTTTCTCTGTCTAGAAGGCCTCCAAGAGATTCGCTATATAAATCACTTTCAAGAGGTCTTCTCTGTATCGAAGGACTTTAATATGTATACATTTTTTTTTTTTTTTTTTGAATAGAATACCTTAAAGATTTATTCTCTGTATAGAGACCGCCAAAAGGTCTTCTCTGTATAGAACCCCTTAAAAATTCCTCTCCTTGAAGAAAAAGGAAACTTTTAAGAAGACATTCAAGAGGTACCTTTATAGAAGCTTTTGCAAAGTTTTTCTCTGTAAATTAAACGTTAAAATATCTCCTCTTTATAAAAGGCCTTTCAAAGCTGTGCTCTAAATAGAAAACCTTTGAAGACCTTATTTGTATAGAAGAACTTTTAAAAGGGCGTCTCGGTATAGAAAACCGAATTAGATGGTATTTTGAAGATCTTCTCTATGTAGAAGGTTTTTAAAGTGTGTGTTTCTGTATGGAAGTCATTCGAAATATCTTCTCTACACCAAATATCTTCAAAGGCTATTATCTGTAGTAAAAACTTTAAAAAGGTCTGCTCTTTATAGATGATATTTTCTCTATAGAAGACATTGAACAGTTCTGCGTTTTGTGATTACCTTCAAAATTTCTTTGAAGTCAATGAAATGCCTTCGAAAAAAAACTTCTGCTTTAAAAGGACGTCTCTGTGTAGAAAACTGAAGAAGTAGGTGTTTTGAGGTCTTCCCCCTATAGAGAAGGCCTTTAAGAGGCCTTCCATATATAGAGAAGACTTTTAAGAGGTCTTCTCCGTCTAGAGAAGTCTTCCAAGAAGTCTTCTCTGTGTAGAATACACCTTTAAGAGGTCATCTCCGCATAGAGAAGGCCCTTAAGAATACACCTGAAAGTCTTCTCTGTAGTAAATAGCTGGATGTTAACCACTATAGTGAACCTATCTGTGAGAGACCCTGCCCGGCACAGAGTGAATGTGTCAAGCCGAAATGGGAGTGCCTGTCGCAATGGCTATCAAATTGCCAAGGGATCAGTCTGTCGACCCCACAGCCCTTCAGATTGCCCATTACAGATCTAATGTGTGGCGCCCAAACTGTATGACTCTCCGACAGGTCATAAGATCAGCCAGGGGATCGATGTAAAATAAGGGGTTTGTGTGAGAAAACGAGAAATACCGATGCAATGTGTGCTTCTTTCTGACTGAGGATGCGCATATGAATGGATTCTCTGGCGGCCTGCCAATGAAAAAAGAAGGACTCTCTAGACCGCCAGCTCATCTGCCTGTTTTGTATTTTAAATAATTTTTTATTTTATTTTTTAATTATTTTTTATTAAAAATAGTAAAAAATTACAAAAAAAATTAACTATCTTAGAAAACTTACAACAACAATGCATTCTGAAGAAAAAATATTTCTTCGTAATTAAAATGTACATATCCGCTCTGATATCGACAGTTATTAAAAATAGTACAAGGATAAAATTTAAATTATTTTAAAATATTTACTAAAATTATTGATGGCAGGCAGACTTATATTACAGACTTTTCGGCATCCGAACAAACTCGATTGTCATAGGCGCATTCCAGTTGTTTGCCTGGAAATAAGAAAAAATAATTTATTTAAAAAATATATTCGAAAAAAATATTTTTTTTAAAAATAAAAAATTAAATATTTAAAAAAAATATTTTTTAGAAATAAAATATTTTCTCAAAAAATAAATAATTTTTTAGAAATAAAATATTTTTTAAAAATTAAAATAAAATAACAAAATATTTTTTAAAAAATAAAATATTTTTAAAAAATAAAATATTTTTTAAAAAATAAAATATAAATATAAAAATGTAATGAAAAATATTTTTTTTTTTCAAAAATTTTTTTGAAAAAAATTTAAAAAAAAATTAATGAAAATTTTTATTTTTTATTTTTTTAAAACATTCAAGGCTTAAAAGGAAGAGCATCCCTCTCCGCCCAGAAATACTTTTCCTTTCATGATATTAAAACCAAAAAGTTATCGCCTTTGCAACTCACCTTCCACATCCATTTCCTCGTGTTGCCTTCGCACAAATCTCAAACCCAAATAAATCAAGGCGCCCGTCATCAGAAGAACTCCCAAAATAATGAAAAAGATGACCGGTACATTTGAAGGCTCCTCAATTATTTCAATAATTTCATCCTCGTCCTGCCAATTCAGCTCGGGATTAGCCATGAAATTTTCATACTCCTCAGATGTAAGGCAAACTTGTTTCACAATGGGTTTTGAGGATTCAGTTGTATCGGCGGAACCTGTTGACTGAGCTTTTTTCAACATTCGATAGCCCTCCTGGCAGTTGCAGGTACCATTCTCTGTACAAATTGCATGGGGATCGGAGCAGGGCTTAATTCTGCAATCGATTTCATCGATGGCAAATTTCAGTGGCTGACATTGGCCGCGATAGCGTACATAGTCATCGGGACATTGGGTGGGTTCCTCACTCTGTGAGGTGCTGGTGGTGGTACTTTCAAATATTTCATCGAACACCTGATTCGGATCAATGTCTTCTTTGAAGGTATCAATGTCGGTTTCAATCTCTGGCTGTTTTTCTGTGGTCTCTACATCATTCCGATCAGTGTGATCGTCTTCCAAGGGTTGGTAGCTATCCCCACCATTTAAATTGGGCTCACATTTTTCGTTCTCCTCATTCCAGAGGTAGCCAACATTACACTGACACTTGTCTGTGTCCACACAAACCCCATTTTTACACTGATCCCCCCGGCTGCAGATGGGTAAACATGTTCCCTTGCCGGATTTATAACCTGCCGGACATTCACACAGATTTGGCGCCACACATTTACCCTGGAAGGGACAGCCCGATGGACAGTGGGGTCTACACACCGACCCCTCGGCAATTTGATAGCCATTATGGCAGGCACACTCATTCGGTTTGACACATTCACTGTGGGCCGGGCAGGGTCTCTCACAGATCGGCTCACAATAATGGTTACCATCCAGCTCCGAGAGGGAGGAGAAATACCCTGCGGCACATTTACACACTTCGGGTTCGACGCATTTTGAGTTTTGTGGACAACCTTTACGACATTTGGGTTCACACATTTCCAGCTCTGACATTTCGTAACCCTCACAACAACCCCGTACGGGAGTCACTTTGGCTATGGCTTCCTGTTCCACATATTCTTCTATTTTGGTTTTCTTGGAGAGTTTTTTATACCATGGTTGGGTGACTTTCACTTCTCTCGTTTTGGTTACATTTACATAGGTGTATTCGGTGCGATTGTAGATGCAGTAGGGTTCCGGATCCGCAAAACATGGAAAGTCCAAAACGTGGAGGACAACAATTGTGCATAAGACGAGAAAATATTTCATTTTGGGAAGCTGGAAAGAGAGGGAAAGAAAGTATTGTTTTATGGCCCATAAAAAAATATTTTTTTAATAAATCCAGGCCCATGAAAAAATATTTTTTAATAAATCCACGTCCAGGTGGGCCATGAAAAAATATTTTTTAATAAATCCACGTCCAAGTGGGCCATGAAAAAATATTTTTTAATAAATCCACGTCCAAGTTGGCCATGAAAAAATATTTTTTAATAAATCCACGTCCAGGTGGGCCATGAAAAAATATTTTTTAATAAATCCACGTCCTAGTGGGCCATGAAAAAATATTTTTTAATAAATCCACGTCCAGGTGGGCCATGAAAAAATATTTTTTAATAAATCCACGTCCAAGTGGGCCATGAAAAAATATTTTTTAATAAATCCACGTCCAGGTGGCCCATGAAAAAATATTTTTTGATAAATCCACGTCCAGGTGGCCCATGAAAAAATATTTTTTAATAAATCCACGTCCAAGTGGGCCATGAAAAAATATTTTTTGATAAATCCACGTCCAGGTGGCCCATGAAAAAATATTTTTTAATAAATCCACGTCCAAGTGGGCCATGAAAAAATATTTTTTAATAAATCCACGTCCAAGTGGGCCATGAAAAAATATTTTCTAATAAATCCACGTCCAGGTGGCCCATGAAAAAATATTTTTTAATAAATCCACGTCCAGGTGTCCGATGAAAAAATATTTTTTAATAAATCCACGTCCAGGTGTCCGATGAAAAAATACTTTTTAATAAATCCACGTCCAGGTGTCCGATGAAAAAATATTTTTTAATAAATCCACGTCCAGGTGTCCGACGAAAAAATATTTTTTAATAAATCCACGTCCAGGTGTCCGATGAAAAAATGTTTTTTAATAAATCCACGTCCAGGTGGCCCATGAAAAAATATTTTTTAATAAATCCACGTCCAGGTGGCCCATGAAAAAATATTTCTTAATAAATCCACGTCCAGGTGGTCCATGAAAAAATATTCTTTAATAAATCCACGTCCAGGTGGTCCATGAAAAAATATTCTTTAATAAATCCACGTCCAGGTGGCCCATGAAAAAATATTTTTTAATAAATCCACGTCCAGGTGGCCCATGAAAATTTTTTTTTAATAAATCCACGTCAAGGTGGCCCATGGAAAAATATTTTTTAATAAATCCCCGTCCAGTTGGCCCATGAAAAAATATTTTTTTAATAAATGCACGTGCAAGTGGCCCATGAAAATTTTTTTTTAATAAATCCACGTCAAGGTGGCCCATGGAAAAATATTTTTTAGTAAATCCCCGTCCAGTTGGCCCATGAAATTTTGTTTTTTAATAAATCCACGTCAAGGTGGCCCATGAAAAAATATTTTTTAGTAAATCCCCGTCCAGTTGGCCCATGAAAAAATATTTTTTAATAAATCCACGTCCAGGTGGGACATGAAAAAATATTTTTTAATAAATCCACATCCAGGTTGGACATGAAAAAATTATTTTTAATAAATCAACGTCCAGGTGGCTCATGAAAAAATATTTTTTTTAATAAATCCACGTCCAGGTGGCCCATGAAAAATATCTTTTAATAAATCCACGTCCAGGTGGCCCATGAAAAAATATTTTTTAATAAATCCACTTCCAGGTGACCCATGAAAAAATGTTTTTTAATAAATCCACGTCCAGGTGGCCCATGAAAAAATATTGTTTAATAAATCCACGTCCAGGTGACCCATGAAAAAATATTTTTTACTAAATCCACATCCAGGTTGGACATGAAAAAATTATTTTTAATAAATCAACGTCCAGGTGGCTCATGAAAAAATATTTTTTTTAATAAATCCACGTCCAGGTGGCCCATGAAAAATATCTTTTAATAAATCCACGTCCAGGTGGCCCATGAAAAAATATTTTTTAATAAATCCACTTCCAGGTGACCCATGAAAAAATGTTTTTTAATAAATCCACGTCCAGGTGGCCCATGAAAAAATATTGTTTAATAAATCCACGTCCAGGTGACCCATGAAAAAATATTTTTTACTAAATCCACATCCAGGTGGCCCATGAAAAAATATTTTTTAATAAATCCACGTCCAGGTGGCCCATGAAAAAATATTGTTTAATAAATCCACGTCCAGGTGACCCATGAAAAAATATTTTTTAATAAATCCACGTCCAAGTGGGCCATGAAAAAATATTTTTTAATAAATCCACGTCCAGGTGGCCCATGAAAAAATATTTTTTGATAAATCCACGTCCAGGTGGCCCATGAAAAAATATTTTTTAATAAATCCACGTCCAAGTGGGCCATGAAAAAATATTTTTTGATAAATCCACGTCCAGGTGGCCCATGAAAAAATATTTTTTAATAAATCCACGTCCAAGTGGGCCATGAAAAAATATTTTTTAATAAATCCACGTCCAAGTGGGCCATGAAAAAATATTTTCTAATAAATCCACGTCCAGGTGGCCCATGAAAAAATATTTTTTAATAAATCCACGTCCAGGTGTCCGATGAAAAAATATTTTTAATAAATCCACGTCCAGGTGTCCGATGAAAAAATACTTCTTAATAAATCCACGTCCAGGTGTCCGATGAAAAAATATTTTTTAATAAATCCACGTCCAGGTGTCCGACGAAAAAATATTTTTTAATAAATCCACGTCCAGGTGTCCGATGAAAAAATGTTTTTTAATAAATCCACGTCCAGGTGGCCCATGAAAAAATATTTTTTAATAAATCCACGTCCAGGTGGCCCATGAAAAAATATTTCTTAATAAATCCACGTCCAGGTGGTCCATGAAAAAATATTCTTTAATAAATCCACGTCCAGGTGGTCCATGAAAAAATATTCTTTAATAAATCCACGTCCAGGTGGCCCATGAAAAAATATTTTTTAATAAATCCACGTCCAGGTGGCCCATGAAAATTTTTTTTTAATAAATCCACGTCAAGGTGGCCCATGGAAAAATATTTTTTAATAAATCCCCGTCCAGTTGGCCCATGAAAAAATATTTTTTTAATAAATTCACGTGCAAGTGGCCCATGAAAATTTTTTTTTAATAAATCCACGTCAAGGTGGCCCATGGAAAAATATTTTTTAGTAAATCCCCGTCCAGTTGGCCCATGAAATTTTGTTTTTTAATAAATCCACGTCAAGGTGGCCCATGAAAAAATATTTTTTAGTAAATCCCCGTCCAGTTGGCCCATGAAAAAATATTTTTTAATAAATCCACGTCCAGGTGGGACATGAAAAAATATTTTTTAATAAATCCACATCCAGGTTGGACATGAAAAAATTATTTTTAATAAATCAACGTCCAGGTGGCTCATGAAAAAATATTTTTTTTAATAAATCCACGTCCAGGTGGCCCATGAAAAATATCTTTTAATAAATCCACGTCCAGGTGGCCCATGAAAAAATATTTTTTAATAAATCCACTTCCAGGTGACCCATGAAAAAATGTTTTTTAATAAATCCACGTCCAGGTGGCCCATGAAAAAATATTGTTTAATAAATCCACGTCCAGGTGACCCATGAAAAAATATTTTTTACTAAATCCACATCCAGGTTGGACATGAAAAAATTATTTTTAATAAATCAACGTCCAGGTGGCTCATGAAAAAATATTTTTTTTAATAAATCCACGTCCAGGTGGCCCATGAAAAATATCTTTTAATAAATCCACGTCCAGGTGGCCCATGAAAAAATATTTTTTAATAAATCCACTTCCAGGTGACCCATGAAAAAATGTTTTTTAATAAATCCACGTCCAGGTGGCCCATGAAAAAATATTGTTTAATAAATCCACGTCCAGGTGACCCATGAAAAAATATTTTTTACTAAATCCACATCCAGGTGGCCCATGAAAAAATATTTTTTAATAAATCCACGTCCAGGTGGCCCATGAAAAAATATTGTTTAATAAATCCACGTCCAGGTGACCCATGAAAAAATATTTTTTAATAAATCCACATCCAGGTTGGACATGAAAAAATTATTTTTAATAAATCAACGTCCAGGTGGCTCATGAAAAAATATTTTTTTTAATAAATCCACGTCCAGGTGGCCCATGAAAAATATCTTTTAATAAATCCACGTCCAGGTGGCCCATGAAAAAATATTTTTTAATAAATCCACTTCCAGGTGACCCATGAAAAAATGTTTTTTAATAAATCCACGTCCAGGTGGCCCATGAAAAAATATTGTTTAATAAATCCACGTCCAGGTGACCCATGAAAAAATATTTTTTACTAAATCCACATCCAGGTGGCCCATGAAAAAATATTTTTTAATAAATCCACGTCCAGGTGGCCCATGAAAAAATATTTTTTTTTAATAAATCCACGTCCAGGTAGCCCATAAAAAAATATTTTTTTTTAATAAATCCACGTCCAGGTGGCCCATGAAAAATATTTTTTTAATAAATCCACGTCCAGGTGTCCGATGAAAAAATATTTTTTAATAAATCCACGTCCAGGTGTCCAATGAAAAAATATTTTTAACTAATTCACGTCCAGATGGCCCATGAAAAAATATTTTTTAATAAATCCACGTCCAGGTGTCCAATGAAAAAATATTTTTAACTAATTCACGTCCAGATGGCCCATGAAAAAATATTTTTTAAATAAATCCACGTCCAGGTGGCCCATGAAAAAATATTTTTTCAATAAATCCACGTCCAGGTGTCCGATGAAAAAATATTTTTAAATAAATCCACGTCCAGGTGTCCGATGAAAAAATATTTTTTCAATAAATCCACGTCCAGGTGTCCGATGAAAAAATATTTTTAAATAAATCCACGTCCAGGTGTCCGATGAAAAAATATTTTTTAGTAAATCCACGTCCAGATGGCCCATGAAAAAATATTTTTTAATAAATCCACGTCCAGATGGCCCATGAAAAAATATTTTTTAATAAATCCACGTCCAGATGGCCCATGAAAAAATATTTTTTAATAAATCCACCTCCAGGTGTCCCATGAAAAAATATTTTTTAATAAATCCACGTCCAGGTGGCCCATGAAAAAATATTTTTTAATAAATCCACGTCCAGATGGCCCATGAAAAATATTTTTTAATAAATCCACCTCGAGGTGTCCCATGAAAAAATATTTTTTAATAAATCCACGTTTGTGGAATTTTTGAAAAAATATTTTTTTAATAAATCCACGTCCAGGTTGCCCATGAAAAAATATGTTTTTAATAAATCCATGTTTGTGGATTTTTTGGAAAAATATTTTTTAATGTGAATTCTTTGAAAAAATAATTTAAAAAAATCCACGTTTGTTGATTTATTGAAAAAATAATTTTAAAAAATCCATGTTTGTGGATTTATTGAAAAATAATGTTTAAAAAAACCACTTTTGTGGATTTATTGAAAAAATAATTTTCAAAAAATCCACGTTTGTGTATGCTTTGAAAAAAATAATTTTTAAAAAACCCACGCATGTGTATTCTTTAAAAAAATAATTTTTTAAAAATCCACGTTTTTGGATTTATTGAAAAAATAATTTTTAAAAAATCCACGTTTGTGGATTTATTGACAAAATAATTTTTAAAAAATCCACGTTTTTGGATTTATTGAAAAAATAATTTTTAAAAAATCCACGTTTGTGTATTCTTTGAAAAAAATAATTTTTAAAAAATCCACGTTTGTGCATTCCTTGAAATAAAATATACTTTTTTTAAATCCAAGTTTCACTTTCTTATAAAAATATTTGAAAATCCATTCGGCAAGTCTTTGTTTTGGTTTTGAAAATGCTTTTTCATTATTTTTTTGATATAATCGATCACTCCAGTAAGGTGTGTCACAGGCTCAGTTCAAATTTCACTTTTCTGTTTAAAAATTGTTTAGTTTGTATTTCTGTGTAGTTATTTTTTGTACCTTAGTCAAAACACTTTCGATTTTTTTTGTTAGCAATTTTTTGCTGATTATAAATTATTTATTTTTAAAATATTCTTCCCAGCGGATCTTCAAGTGTTCCTTACTAGCTCAACAATTGAATTAAACTAAACGTTGACAACTCCAACGCTATTGTGTTACACTTGCGGCGTCCGGACGTAACGGCAAAGGCAATCAGCAACGAACAGCTGACCGGCTTAAGCTACAATGGCGTGAGCTGCAGCTTGAGACCACAATTGCTTCACGTAGTAGAGTTCTTATTTCTTTCAAGCGTTCATTCACTCAGTCGTTCATTCATTCACTTATCCATCCATCCATCCATCGAATATACGGGTGCTTGAGTCTCATTACAGTTTCAAGTGGGTGAGAGTGACGAGGGGTGGAGGGAGGTTTCAATGAAATATCCGCTGTTTAATTTTTCCTTTTTTTTTGAAAAGATAAACAATTTCTTTGCCTTGTTTTTGTTGCTGTTTTTTTTTTCTTGGACTATTTTATTATTGTTGAGAGGCTCATGAAACAAATCACAAGAATTGGATATCAATGAATGGGCGCGATTGTTTTTCATTTATTTAATTTTTTTTTAAATAATTAAAATAAATTTAAAGCCATTTCAGTGCGTGATAATCATGGGAAGAACGACATACATCCTTCAAAAACAAATAAGGAAATGAGGAAAACATAGTATGACAAATAATGCTCTTGTGACGTTCATGGTGGTTACACGGAATTTAAGGCTGAGTCATAGAGAGGAACTTGTTTTTATTGAGGTTAGACTCAGTGGGGACAGATTCATGAATCTTTATTTTTTAAAAATTATTTTTTCAAAAAAAAAAAACACAAACGTGGATTTTTTAAAAATTATTTTTTCAAAGAAAACACAAACATGGATTTTTTAAAAATTATGTTTTTAAAGAAAACACAAACGTGGATTTTTTAAAAATTATTTTTTCAAAGAAAATACAAACGTGGATTTTTTAAAAATTATTTTTTCAAAGAAAACACAAACGTGGATTTTTTAAAAATTATTTTTTCAAAGAAAATACAAACGTGGATTTTTTAAAAATTATTTTTTCAAAGAAAACACAAACGTGGATTTTTTAAAAATGATTTTTTCAATAAATCCACTAACGTGGATTTTTTAAAAATTATTTTTTCAATAAATCCACAAACGTGGATTTTTTAAAAATTATTTTTTCAATAAATCCACAAACGTGGATTTTTTAAAAATTATTTTTTCAATAAATCCACAAACGTGGATTTTTTAAAAATTATTTTTTCAATAAATCCACAAACGTGGATTTTTTAAAAATTATTTTTTCAATAAATCCACAAACGTGGATTTTTTAAAAATTATTTTTTCAATAAATCCACAAACGTGGATTTTTTAAAAATTATTTTTTCAATAAATCCACAAACGTGGATTTTTTAAAAATTATTTTTTCAATAAATCCACAAACGTGGATTTTTTAAAAATTATTTTTTCAATAAATCCACAAACGTGGATTTTTTAAAAATTATTTTTTCAATAAATCCACAAACGTGGTTTTTTTAAAAAACGTGGATTTTTTAAAAATTATTTTTTTTAATAAATCCACAAACGTGGATTTTTTAAAAATTATTTTTTCAATAAATCCACAAACGTGGATTTTTTAAAAATTATTTTTTCAATAAATTCACAGACGTGGATTTTTTAAAAATTATTTTTTTCAATAAATCCACAAACGTGGATTTTTTAAAAATTATTTTTTCAATAAATCCACAAACGTGGGTTTTTAAAAAAAAAATTTCAATAAATCCACAAACGTGTATTTTTTAAAAAAAATATTTTGGATTTTTTAAAAATTATTTCTTCAATAAATCCACAAACGTGGGTTTTTAAAAAAAAAATTTCAATAAATCCACAAACGTGTATTTTTTAAAAAAAATATTTTGGATTTTTTAAAAATTATTTTTTCAAATAATCCACAAACGTGGATTTTATAAATTTTTTTTTTTCAATAAATCCACAAACGTGTATTTTTTAAAAAAATATTTTGGATTTTTTAAAAATTATTTTTTCAAATAATCCACAAACGTGGATTTTTTAAAAATTATATATTATTTTTTTAATTTTACTTCGGAACTTTAAATTGTTTTTGGAATTCTCTTATGCTGATAATTACCATCACAATCCCAAGCGATATGCCCTGCTATCTATACAACCAGATTTCACTGCTTCGAGATATCAAGAACTAATCCCTAGATCCTCCATGTCCACTGCATTGGCTAATCGTATTGAGAAGCCCTACAAGAAGTCTTATCTTAATTTCATGTCTTTGAATGGCCTCAGACAATTCAATTGCCGACAAAATTACATTGCAGCTTGAGCTGGCATGGATTAGTCACCCGCGCTGATGCTGAGCACAAAAACACACACACACATATGACGCTGGATAAGTGATAAGGGCGGCAGGCGGCGTGCGTTAATGTTGACATATGGCGTGTGTGTGCGTACTATTTGTTTAAAAAGAAAGGTTATTAAAAAACAATAATTCTTTTCATAAATAAACTATAAGAAACACAAGGTTTTCAGTTGAGATAAATCTCGAATGGACAAAAGATGGAAAGAATTCCATAAGATTTAGAGGGTCATTCTGTCAATGACCATGTTGTGGTGATACTCAAAAATTTAATTGCGGAATGTAATGGAACAAAAATAATTATGACCACAGTCTCCTTGGGGAGCTGAAATATTTTTTGTTGATGTGATAAAACGTTTCATAAAAGATGGGATCGAAATAAATGGAATCATGGAAAAACAATTTAAAAAATAAATAAAATAAATAATAAAAAAATAATTTTTAAAAAATCCACATTTGTGGATTTATTGAAAAAATAATTTTTAAAAAACGCACATTTGTGGATTAATTGAAAAAATAATTTTAAGAAAATTCACGTTTGTGGGTTTATTGAAAAAATAATTTGTGGATTTATTGAAAAAATAATTTTTAAAAAATCCACGATTGTGTATTTATTGAAAAAATATTTTTTTTAAATCCACTTTGTGGATTCTATGAAAAAATAATATTTAAAAAAATCCATGTTTGTGGATTCTATGAAAAAATAATTTTTTTTAAATCCACTTTGTGGATTCTATGAAAAAATAATTAAAAAAAATCCACGTTTGTAGATTTATTTAAAAAAATAATTTTTAAAAAATCAAGTTTGTGGATTTATTGAAAAAATAATTTTTAAAAAATCCAAGTTTGTGGATTTATTGAAAAAATAATTTTTAAAAAATCCACGTTTGTGGATTTATTGAAAGAATTATTTTTAAAAAATCCGCGTCTGCGAATTCTTTGAAAAAATAATTTTTAAGAAATCCACGTTGGTGAATTCCTTAAAAAAATAATTTTTAAAAAAGTCCAAGTTGGTGAATTCCTTAAAAAAATAATTTTTAAAAAATCCACGTTTGTGTATTCTTTGAAAAAAATTAATTTTTAAAAAATCCACGTTTGTGTATTCTTTGAAAAAAAAAAAAAATTTTAAACAATCCACGTTTGTGTATTCTTTGAAAAAAAAAATAATTTTTAAAAAATCCACGTTTGTGTATTCTTTAAAAAAATAATTTTTAAAAAATCCACGTTTGTGGATTTATTGAAAAAATAATTTTTAAAAAATCCACGTTTGTGGATTTATTGAAAAAATAACTTTTAACAAATCCACGTTTCAGTATTTTTAAAAAAAAAAATAATTTTTAAAAAATCCACGTTTCTGTATTCTTTAAAAAAAAAATAATTTTTAAAAAATCCACGTTTGTGTATTCTTTGAAAAAAAATAATTTTTAAATAATCCACTTTGGAGAATTCTTTGAAAAAAATAATTTTTAAAAAATCCACGTTAGTGAATTTTTTGAAAAAAATATTTATTTACAAATCCACGTACGTGGATTAATTGAAAAAATATTTATTTAAAAAATCCACGATTAAGGATTCTTTGAAAATTTTAAATTGAAATTGAAAAATATTTATTTAAAAATTACGTTTCCTTAAAAAAATAATTTTTAAAAAATCCACATTTGTGGATTCTTTGAAAAAAATAATTTTTAAAAAATTCACGTTGATGAATTATTTGAAAAAAAATAATTTTTAAAAATTTCACGTTGATGAATTCTTTAAAAAATTAATTTGTAAAAAATCCACGTTTGTGAATTCTTTGCAAAAATAATTTTTAAAAAATCCACGTTATTGAATTCTTTGAAAAAAATATTTTAAAAAAATCCACAGTGGTGCATTCTTTGAAAAAATAATTTTTAAAAAATCCACGTTTTTGAATTTATTGAAAAAATAATTTTTAAAAAATCCACGTTATTGAATTATTTGAAAAAATAATTTTTTAAGAAATCTACGTTTGTTAACTCTTTGAAAAAAATATTTTTTAAAAAATCCACGTTTGTGGATTTATTGAAAAAATAATTTTTAAAAAATCCACGTTTGTGGATTTATTGAAAAAATAATTTTTAAAAAATCCAAAATTAAAAATTGAATTTTGTCCTTAAATTCATCACCTCTCCCCCTCCTCTATCCATGCTATGAAAATAGGTCTCCTATACAAACATCAACGTAACCTTTTTTCTCCAATTCAATTTCACCATAAGTCTAAACAAACATTTTTCATTTCCATCCTCGTTTTCCTTTTTTAATTTGGCACTCGGACACATCAACCAAATTCATTTCCTATTAAAAAAAAGAAAAAAAAAAATATTTCAAAAATTCATTAATCACTCAATGCTTATGAGGAGCGAGTAGGACTAACAGCTCGAGAATAGTTAAATTTTCTAGAGTCATTCATTCATACTACCATCCATCCATTCGTTCTTACTTTAGTTAGTCGATTGTTTGTTTGGTGAGAAGGATATTTCAAGTGTTTATTAAGATTGATGAATTTTTGCATTTGAAGAGGTCCTTGTTGGCGGCTTTGGCATCTCGACACTTACACACACAGCTATAGACCAACAAAAAGCTGGCAGACAACCCAATTTCCCAATTCCATGTCGAAAGAGGAACATGCGTAGTGCAATGCCTCACGCACCATTCGAAGATGATGGAGGTCCATATTTAACCTTAAAAGAGATGCTAAGCGTTTTCGTTTTTTCCACCTCTTCTTCTTCGGCATTTTCTTCATCGTCTTCTTCCACTTCTTCTTCTTTGGAGG